GTGATCGCTTAGACGAGCTGCAGTGGTCAAGTTGATGTGTCTTTCTCGGCTCTGTTTGAACTCATCTGGCTTTTCACAATATCTATTTCCAGATGGTAGTTGGTTGGGTGCAATATTTAATTGTGAAATAGTTCGCTCTAATGGTTTTTCTGTGAGAAGCCACCTTGACAAGGTTATCATAGTTTCGCAACTGATATGCTTTAATATTTACTTATATTATGGATGAGTTAATGTAAGAATGTAAGGATGACTCTGAAGAACAGAAATAAGTTGCATTTCGCTCTCTCTAACCATATGAGTTCTAATTTCAGTCGTATACACTTGTCAACATATTTTATTTGTTGGCCAAACCCTATTATGCGTTCCTTGAGGAATCTCCGGACACCTTAGACTGTTCTTTGGTCTGATCTTAGGTCACTAAATATGGGAGCACGATATTCAGGTTTGTGGCGAATAGATATCTTATATATAGCTAATCTTGCTTCTTGAGTGTAAAAGTTATGCAGAAGGAAACCAGTAGGTCATTTACAGTCAGATACTATTTTATATGCATGATCGGAAAGGGTTAAATCTGAATATGTTATTCCGAGATCTGTGACTGTGTTAAGTTTTGGGAGGAGCTAACCACACGTTTGCAGACAATTTCTCGGTCTGCAGCGTCTAGGGTGGGCTGTACCGCACTTGTCTGGATCGAATGTCAGTTGCCATTTTTCGCCTCAGCCGTGCTGGATCTTACTGTCGACGCTCATGTCATCGTACTTATATTCGTATACTATCTTGTGATCATCTGCAAAGAGGTATGGCTTGCTATACTTGATCACACGGACTACGTCATTTATGAACAAGAGGAATGAAATAGAGCCAAGAACGCTTCCTTGTATTACACTACTAGTCATCGGCTATGATGAAGACAGCTGACGCTTAATTTTGACTAAACGCTCCCTTTCTGTGGGAAAAGAATTTATCCATTTGAGCTTTCCAGTTATTCCGTTTTGTTAGGAGTCTGATATGTGGAGCTTTATCAAAAGCTTTGCTAACGTCGAGAATTAATGTTTCTACAGAATGCCTATCATCTATGAATTGCGCATTGTGTCAGAATAATCTAAGTGGCAAGTAATGGACGACCTTCTACTTAAGAAACTGTATTGTGATAGGGATAGTAGGTCATCTGAGAGCAAGTACTGAATGATTTGGGTCTTTACTATCTTTTCCATTACACGTGAAACTACAGACGTGATGTCAACTAGGCGGTAGTTGTCGATATGAGCTATAGGCCCGTATTTATGGATAGGTACAATATAGGTCTTCTTCCAACAGGTAGGGTTTGTCCCATCGCTTAGTGAAATTGAGCGTAACTTGAGTAGGAGTAAATTCATGTCATTACCACCGTTTTTCAGCAGAATAGAAGATATACCATCTGGACCAATAGTGTTACCAAGCTTGAGATTTGCGGCAGCTTTATCGATCTCGCCTGTGGTGAAAAGTATGTCACTTAGGAATTCGTCTTTTTTACGTGGGAAATCCACGACCTGATCGTTCTCCAAGGTGTATAGTCTGGCAAAGTGCTTGCTAAACAGCTCACATATCACCTCAGTATTCTCGTAAGCAATGCCGTCTAATTATATTATTTTCGGATATGCTGTTTTGGAGTTTGTTGACCTACTTTTTAAAAGTTCGACTATTTCTCCCGGATTATGCAGTGGCTGAATGGCCCGCATTTCCTTGATTCTGAGGCTTATATTATTTAAATCTTGAATTCTAGTGAGAAGGGGAGTAATAGCAATTAGCTATAAGTCATGATATTTGTAGTATTTTATTGAGTGCTTCCGTAGACTTCTCTGTAACGATTTCGGGATGTATTCTCTTTAGGGGAATTCGAACCTTAGAATCTTCTCAGGTGCAATGACATCATGAACTGAGTTAATATTATGATAAAAATTGTCAATAATTGCCTCCTAGGTCTTGTTCGAAGAGCGCGGGTCCCAGTTAGAGCACCTGATTAAGTACTGATGCAAGTCCCAGTTAGTATGTGTGTACAATCTTATAGGTGTCTGGTCAGTTTCATCTCAGAATTTTGTCTCGGGAAAGATGTTGAAAGAACACACTGCTATTTTATGGTCACTACCTGGAAATTCATGTCCAACATGTACTCTGTATGATATGTTTTTCGTGAAAAAAAGGTCTAGGATATTTGGGGATCTAGCGGGTGAGTTCATGTGTTGTACCCACCTTCCTGTGACGATGGAATTCAGTAGATTATGAAGCCTTTAGTGTCCTCAGAGTAAAGGTCATGATACTTCTTACAAGTTGAAATCACCTCTAGTAATTTTATAACCGAGGGGGAGATTGGGCATAACATTTAAAATGTTGCTGAGCATATTATCATACTCCCTGCTGGATGAAGGGGGCCAGTATATACAACCCATAAGTATAGATTTACCTCTGTCAACTTTCATTTTTACCCAGATCGAGTCAGTGAGTTATGACAGAATTGGGTTACTGAACTGGGCCGCACACATGGATTGTTCAGTGTAAATTGGAGTTCCAACCCGACGGCCTGTCCTCCTGTCCCCTAAAAAAAGGTTGTAGTTACCGATTCTTAGGCTGTCATTAGAGATTACACTTATGCACCAGGCTTCGGTGATCATTATAATTGATGGTCTGTATATGGAAGCTAATGTACTTAGTGTTTATTTAGAAATGATCTAGTATTTACGAGAATAATAGATAAATATTAGCCACATTGTTTCAGTGTGCTGACAACATCTTGGGAAAATACTCCATGGCTATCCTCTGTACACATGTTTTTAGACTCATCAACCCCTTTCTTTGGATCGTTGGAAGACTTTAGGTAGGTTTGTCAGTTGGTAGTCAGGAGTGGTCTGTCTTCTGGGTATGGTAATCAAAGATAGTAGTATCCGCATAAGGTGTTGACACCGGGTCAGCCATCTTCTGGGAAATATGCCTTTTCCCAGCTGTAAACTGTTTTCCATGCCAGTGTAGCGGTAAATAATTCCCCGAAATTATTGACCACAGCACTCATCACTGAACATTGGATGCTAACTCTCGCTGTTTAAGTCGTCTTGTTTAGCTGAAGGCTTCCGGTCAAGCATCAACGCCATTTGGTACTCCGTCGTGTCACGTTCGTGCACGATCCCTAGCCAGCTAAGCAATCATCTTGCACTCCAATTTGGTCCCAAAATATATCTCGTAATTTGGACAATCAAATATTTTCTTTTGCTTTGCCTTTGGTCTACGCGGAATGAATACTACAGAAGTTGTGGGTATTAGTTCTTGCGTTAGTATACTTCGTACTATCCGTGAACGTCAATACCATCAGCCTCTAAACCAACAAGGAATTGGTCTTATATCACACATGCCATATGCATGATGCAAGGTTTTTCTGACATTTGACACCAATGAAAATTCTTCTAGATGAAGCCAGCCGGAACAGTGTTGTTGTGAAGGTTATAATCGATATGAGTATTTAGCAATTCGTTGCCAGAATAGGAATGAAGTCTTGGTATATGGTTTGGGTGGTTATCAGACCACAGAAGGCTTTTTAAAGAGATCAGTACATGCTTCCTACCACTAAGATGTATGAATGGGTTCTATGGGCTTATTTGGCTTACTGAATGGGGTCTGTAGCCGATATTTAGGGGATTTCCTATAACATTCAGTTGATAGTACATTCAAAGGAGCCGGCTTACAGTGGGTTTGCGTAGTAAAACTTTCAGTGAATCCAAGGTTCCCGAGGTCAATCTGAGATTTCTACAACCAACTATTCACTTGCGAAAGTGTCTTCCCATGAATACAATATCTCACTCAGGAAAAATTTAAACATCATACCCAACAAATAAAGAGTTAAGACGAAATCAGCATCTAGGGAATAGTATGTATACAATACAAGAGACTTGAAAGTCACTCCCTAATTAGCTTCAAGTCTTTGCACAAAACTCTGACCACATATTTTGGTATGCATTAACCCGACTATCAGGAGAACTTTGACACCGTTTATTGAATCCATGAAAATGGTTGAGCTGAGAGATTTGTTTGACTGAATAAGATTGAGACAAACGTCAACAGCATGTAATCTTATCAAAATATAGCCACCACTCTACTGTTATTTTAACTGCCGATCTGCAGCAGAATTTTCCTTGAAGGTAAATTGTGTAGAAATGAATGGCGAAGATTTTTCAGCCCATTACACTGCGTTGCACATCATTTGATTCGTCATAACAGGGGTAACCCGGTTGACTGAATGTTTTAACAAATCGGTAATAAGCCCTTAGATTTGATGACTTCAGAGATACAGCGAAGGAATAGTGTTAAACTTTTCAATGGTAACAGTTATCGAACTATATGTCATGTGCGATAATATGAACCACAGACACAAAGGGCACTCAAGTAGTTATGGACTTAATTTCAATGATGTACATGTTTTCCAAAATATTCCAATTTTTCTCGCCTGGTCATTGAATGGTAACTGAAAGAAGTAAAGTCAATTATTGGGGGTTGTTCAGCCAAGGTGAATCCAGATGGAAAATACACAAAAAGACACTTATGGGCATTCAAAGTTAAGATAAAAGTATGAAGTGAACAAAATAAAGGCAGTCCACAACTTTCATTCTATCCCACGTCTACAGTAACTAAACTGATATGTAAACAGTTCATAGATGTGATTTAACACCTCGTCCGAAAGGCAACTTATGACATTTATCAGTTTTCAAAGAGTTTTGGGTCTTTCCCAAGTAAACAATAGGATTGTGGTTAAGATATTTTCAAAGTGACGTTAAAAACCTCGAATAACTTTTCACCACCATAAGAGAATTTGAATATATGAAATAGTATTTTCACTTTTTCCACAAGTATAATTACAATCGGAAGTCATATTTTTTGTGTCGCCACAGCACAAGATTATATCTTCGAAGCAAAAGTTGAGATTCAACTGATTCGGTAGCGTTCTATGAAACAATTATTGTTGTTTTATCCTGTCCATCGATAAACTTTTCCTAGGTCATATTGAATCTCCTGGCGGGAAGCTGGAAATATTTTCAAGGTGTTAGGGGAATTGTCGTGGTTATCTTACATGTTTTATCATGTCGTAGTGGTTCCACCTCCGGTTATACCCGCCTATGTCATATTCATTCGATGCAATAGAAGGCCGGTACCAGTCTTTCAATTCCGAACCATGCACGCTAGAGAAGCAAATACAAATGAATCATTTCGGTGTCGGTAATGCTGCCATTCGTTTATCCTTCCTTGATTTCTCGTGCAATAACGAGATATCTCATGTTTCAACGGATACGAGTTGTGACGGTTTGTTTATTTCTTCCTTTGTCACTTATTAAATCATTATAGGCAGTATATTTTGCATCAACATCGGGAACGAAATACGCATATACTCACAGGAGCATATAAACTCTTCAGCTGAGCGTAGATTTTGTGGTGGCTCACCTGCTCACATAAGATTTAGAGCGCCATTGACTTCTCACTGTTTCAGACGTGCTACAGATAAAGTTAAAGACTCACAGTTATTGATTGGCTTTGCCAATGGAGAAATCAAGTTGATCGATCCTTTAAAAGAAGACCCAAATAAAGTTTTTAACGAAGGAGTAAGTTGAATTCGTATGTTTAATGTTTTCTTAGAAATCTGTCGACGAAACACCTGTAACTTGTGTTAGCTGGGTTCCTCACTCACCTCATCAGTTCTTAGTGAGTCATTCAAGTGGATGTATGTATTTATACGACGAAACATTAGCACAATTGTCAGCCCCCACGTATAACCTGTTCAAACAGGGTGTTGGATTTTCAGTACACACTTGTAAAACAAAGTCAACAAGGAACCCACTATACAGATGGACTTTGGGAAGCCCTGGTGCATCGAAACTTGATAACTGCAAGTCTATGCCAAAACATTCGGATTTTATTAACGGATCTGTTTCAAATAAAACTTGTGAAATACAGACGAACTCATCTAACCACGATTCATCATCGATGATCAACTCATTGTTTGATGACAGTAATGTTTCTATTAACCACTTTGCATTTTCTCCATGTGGTCGTTTCCTTGCAATTGTTACAGAAGATGGTTATATGAGAGTGATGGAGTATCATGAAATGGAGTTATATGTAAGTTTTTGGGTTTATAATCTCTTGACATTTTGCATATTCATACATGAGTGACTCAAGTTTATATTATTTCATATATGACTAGTATTGCAAATTTCGCAAAAATCCTTGTTTTCTCGTGAAAGGCTTGGCAATTTAGCACTAAAGATTGATTAGAGCAACCATATCGTAGTAGCTAAATTTCCTAAGGAATATTTTCTTTCTTAAATATACTGGTGAAATTCAAATTATCTTAAAAGTTCATGTTCACTTGAATAGTAAACAAAATGTTCATGTCGTTATCTGGCCAATATATTTCAAAGGCCCAACAACTGCTGTTAGCCTCAGCTGTCATTCCTTAATAACGTGGAATATTAGAAGTGAGTTACGTAACCATGAAACCGAAGACTTAATAACCAGTTCTCTATCAGTGCTTGAGAAAAAATTGGAAAATGTCCACTCAGAATTTTCTAAGGCTTTCAGTCACTAGTGATAAGGTTCTTATGTTCATACTCCATCTCACAAGATCAAACCTTTTTAACTGTATACGTGTGCCAGAAGTGTTCAAAGACACTTTCCATCTTTCCTTTATGTACATTGAAAAGAGACCACCTTACAAAACATGAATAGAGCTGGTAAGTGAGAACCATCTGCACACCGTTGGCTTACGACCATTAGGCAAACTGATTGTAATTTCTAGGCGAAACACAATATTCAGCGGTGAATTCGTCTAATTAATGTGAATCTCTTTCTCTTGGAAAAAGGAGAAAGATTCTCTCTTGATAATCACAGGAGTCAGCTTAACTAGTTTGTGTTCAAACCACACACTGTCCAGTTGCAGATAGGAGACAATGGATCACACTTAACACAGAGTTTGTCGACTGGATATTCACTCCGTTTAATATTGTGACGCAAGCACTAATAGAGACGATCACTGTTAGTTGTATGTCTTTACCCAAGGGTATTATTAGCAATGTCTCAATAAAAAAGGTTTCGTTTAAACCCATGGGTCGTGTCTGTCAAGGATTTCCATTCTCCACTGCTATTTAACTTTATGACATACCATATATATTTTTTATTTTCAAAATAGTAGGGATATGTGGCTCAGAATAAGGATGAAGTTAATGCTGAAAATCTCGCTGACCCTGGGAATGATCAAATACGAAAGCTTAGAAAATATTAAACAGCTTCTACATAGTGCTCCACAGGGACTGACACTTTCAGAGATAATGTAATTGAAATAATAGAGAAGATTTGTAGCTCAGGTGGATGATTTGCAATTAAAAGTGTTCTCTGAGCTGGTTGGTTTAGTCGCGAAGCTTTCGTCGTCCTTCCGGACAACATCTTCAGCGCCATATTTAGCACAAAGTGAAATGATTTAAATTTCTTCATGCGTGATGTAATTGCGTCTCCTGGTAACCATCTATCGTTACACATGTATTGACCACTTTCTATTGACTAGGATTTTAAACTTTTTGGTCACCTGATTTACTTTTTATTAATTGGTATATTTCATCTACATTAACGTGTTTGTTAATCGCATTTTCGCTTGAGTACCAGGCTTCTAGGAATTCTCTGGCACTTTTCGTGTTTCCTCTGTTTAAGATTTTGACATGACCATAGTTGTCTGCATGCATTGATACTAACGAATACATATCATGTCTTTTCACGGCGACTAAACCAACCAGCTCAGAGAACACTTTTAATTGCAAATAATGTAATTGACTTAGAGTAAGGAAGCAACTTAGAGTCCAGTTGGTTAAAGGTTTGAATATAATCCACAATGTTCTTGACTTTTTAAGTGATAATGCGAGAATGTTTGAGATGTTCGTCATTTACAAAGATTAACTAGTTTCTTCAGGACTGGTCTGTCTCTAACGTAGTATTAAGTATTTCATTTATTTAGGAATTTTTATCAGTAATAATAAGTTTGTTGATTGACTAAATCTCGGCGGAAAAATTTCTTGGCTTTCGCCCAACGACTCAGTTTATAAAGTCGATGCAATAAGCCATCGATTAACTGAAAGTTGTTTACTATGTAGCAGTATACTGTTTCCCCTGCTATATAATCATTAAAATTAGAAGACCGCTTAAGACCTAGGCATTTGACCGTCGAAGAATTCCTAATATGATAAGGTCGTCACGTGAGCGGTTTGCATGTTAAATATAGTCCTCGGTAGGATAAGTTATTGCGGGTAACTAAAACATTTGTTATGTATGCTCACTTGCTAGCTATTCAAGTGTGCTTACAGAAACAAGGTCAAGTTAAAAAATACTTGAAGGATAACCAAAGCAAAACATGACAGATTCATAAGGTCATCCTAAAGATAGCTTAAACTGCATTTTCATCGTTGCAATGTGTAACTTCTCAGTATTGTTGAAGATCTGAAGTAATAGAAATTAGTAGTTGTTGACATTTTATGAGTACAGACAATTTATTCATCTAGCTTTAAGTAACATGTGTTTGGAATCCAGTTGCCTGACAGTCTTTTCATGCGCTAGGCTATGAGCCACATATATTGTGTCAGGGCTGTTAGTACTACACAGGTCTAAGTAGGTGGAGTGCGACTCGGACTCAGTGCCCAATAGTTGAGAGTCAATTTACTAAACCCACAATCCATATCTCCACGGTTAATTTGACTATTAAAAAGACAAACTTGGTGCATTATGAGCATCAACAGACTCGCCAAATAAAAAGTCATAGTTTGTGCGAGGGTTGGGATTCTACCCCGTCATCCTGAGCGAAGTAGGTAGTTGTTTTAAAGGGCCATCTCCCGAGTCCTCGACTTGAGGTCTGGTCCAGAAGTCAGGGGCGGGGAGGGGCAGCGTTAGCAGCTACGTTCTCCAGTGACCGAGACAGGCTTATATGCCATTCAATCCTTTCTGATTCTAGAGCCCATCTACACTTTTCAAGTGGCTTATTAAATCTAGTTTCTCTCATTGTATCTTGCCACTAAAAAGCGGTAACTGACAGACTGGTTCCAACATAGTACTTTGCACAGTTGTGCAGCAATTCGCGTTGCCACACTCCCTCCTTGTAGTACACAAAGCAAGAGAAGAGAGTAGAGAAAGATTCAAAAGAGAGATAATAAACAGAGGTGTCAGTCAGGGAAAAAGAACAGTAATGCGGACGAACAATAGAGTTTTGTTGCATATGATAAATCACAAAGAGTGAATGCATCTGCGCCAGCCATCATTGAGAACGATTTTCAGCCATATCACCAATTGTCTCCCACCTTCATTGGTTCTTATCATCCCAAGGACACCAATCAGTGAGGAATTCTACATCTCCCGACGTGGCTGGTTCAAACTAACTGTTGTGAATTCCATTGATTGATGTGGCAATGTTTTGGTTTGACCACCACTAGCTACCTCCTTTCCAACCTGATCCATCCTATGTCCGCTAACATTGCCCGTCAGTCGAGGAAGACGATGGCTAGGCATCTACGCGTAACACATGTCCTAACCATCTCAGTCGATGTAACTTTACACCCACCTATGGAGTGGTTTCCCCTCCTTACCTAGCACTCACTCGACTGATGCATAACCTCAATATTGCTCACCTTATTATACCACCACCTGACTTGGGCGATAAAATGCAGATACCCATGATCAAAGACAGCTAGCTAGCCAAGCTTTTCATGTCTTCCACTTTCAATGACCATGTCTCACAGTCATAAAGGAGGACGGAGTGAACTGCTGAGCAGTACACACATCCTTTGGTCGACAGTCAGATATCACGTCCACACCAGAGATGGAGTAAGTTGGCGTATGCCAAACGAGCCTTCTGTATCCGTGCAGAGATTTCGTTAGCGATCAACCCGTTGGCGTTGGCTGATGCAAATTCCCAAATAAGTGAATTGGTTGACACACTCTACCATTTCACCGCCTCCCTACCTTTAATCTAAGAATCGATGTAGTCCAGTCCTGTAACATCATCCTACATTTGACAGGAACTGCTCAAAGTGTTCAGAATACTCGGTATTTTGTCAGCGTCTTCACCTAGAAGAACTATTTCATCCGTGGTAAAAATCAAATAATTGGGATCCAATAAAATCCTTTACTGGTTGAAGATACTTTGATTCGCCTCAACATAAAGTAAAGAAAAAAGTCAACCAGAAAATAGTATAGATACTAGTTAGATTGTCATTGATAAGGTTTTGTATATTATTATTGAATGAAAGACTTCTTGTTTATTGCAGTTTCCAAATTTTTTTCTTCTTCTGTGATCTGAAGGACATAAGTCAAATACTCTTTTTTTTTAACTTTTAGGGTTTTATGCGTTCCTACTTCGGTGGATTACTATGCGTGGACTGGTCACCAGATAGTTTGTTTATTGTTACTGGAGGACAAGATGATTTAATAACTATATGGTCTGTGTTGGACAGAGCTGTTATTTGTCGTGGTCAAGGTCATAAATCCTGGGTTAGTATGGTACGCTTCGATCCGTATTTATGTCCTAACAATGATGACATTTCGCATACATCATCATCATCATCTCCTGTCTATGCGAAATCACGTTGTCATTCACTTACAGGAAATCATGAAGAGTTGAAGGAGAATTCAGTTGTCCGGAATTCACCGGTTACAGTGTGTGATGCTGATGATCTACGAACTTATCGGTTAGTCTGTTAAATTTTTGAAAATTTTTTTTCCTTCATGTTCCCCAGTGGAACATAGAGAGGGCTTCAAGCTAGTGGCTTGTAGTTTCTGTAGCAGTGGTGATTATTTTTACAGGATGGGGTTGCTAGCCGTCTCATGACCAACCTTTCCTCTCTACCAGCATTATATCTGGCTTAGCGAGGTAACGGAGGAGTGCGTCTGCTGGCTGGGGATCGAACCCCGGACCATGTGCATGGTTGGCAAGCGTCCTAACCGCTACACGACCGACGCACTAGTCTGTTAAATAGTTTAATTTATGTTTTTAAAAAAATACCAGTGATTGATTGATTACTTATCATTGATTTAAGATTTGAACAGTCTACAGAAGTTAGGTCATTTGTCTCTGGTGGAACAATGGGAGTTTTTTTGTCACTGTCAAATCAGTGCTTCCTATTTAGTTCAGTATTTTGGCGTGTCATGGAAAGCGTTTCCAACAGGCTTCGGACTTTTATCAACAGTGATGATATTAGATGGTTGGAGGCAATCGGCAGGAACCCTTGGACCTAGGTTTCGTGCTAGTTGGCACTCATCAGCAAGGCGTATCTGCAACCTTGAAGGAACTCATGTCCCTTCTGAGATTCGAACCCGCGTTCCTTCAAGGTTGCAGATACGCCTTGCTGATTGGTGAGTGCCAACTAGCACGAAACCTAGGTCCAAGGCTTCCTGCCGATTGCCTCCAACCATCTAATATCATCACAAACAATGTACACCTTGATGGCGAGCTACCTAGAATGGTGGCCACATTACAACCTGACTGATAGAATTCAGTCTGCACTAAAGAGAGGACTAGAGGCATCACACTAGTTACTAGTGTCAAATCAAAATTTTATCAACAGCTGTCTTCGCTCGACACTGAAGGTCAGATGGCCAGAAAGCAGGCGGATAGGCAACAAGGAACTCTGGAAACTAATCAGTCAAGAACCTATCGCGCATCAAGTATGAAGAAGTAAATGAGAATGGATAAGACATACACTGAGGAGACGTTTTTTGAGATATCAGGGATCGGGAAACAATGAGTTGCACTTGGTCCGAGGGTGATATGGAGGAGGCCGATGTGAGGAGGAGAAGGAGGAGATTAGAGCATATTATAGGAAATCATGGATTCAGCTAACAAGGATTGCAGGGAACACGATGAAATGGTGATGTGCCATTGAAACCCTACGTTCCACTCAGAATCCAAGGGAATAATACTGTAACAACAGAAGACAAGGGCCAGGCAACAGATCGTTTATTAAGGAAATCAACGCATACTTATATATTTTCATGTACATTTTTATAGATTAGTTAAGCAAACAAACACAGTCTTCTGATTGGTTGTCTCTCACTTAAAATGAATCTTTCATCTCTTTGTGACTGTTTCTTGAATGTCAGATCATCTATATGTTAAGTGTATCCGCCTACGCAAAGTCTGCTGTGGTCGGTTTTGAATCAGTCTTTGTTCATATTTTCTCACGACCAATCTTCAGAACGTAAACATTGACGTCAATTACTGTCTACCAATTTGGCTAGTAGACAGCTCTCACCACACTATTACTCATGTGATATTTTGTGAGGCTATTTGTGTTGTGTCACATGACGTGGAAACTGAATGCTTGCTTTCAATGTGTGTGTGTGTGTGTGTGTCCCTTTTGACTGTTAATACTTTTATGCAATACTGTTTACAATTGAATCGGTTGTTAAACTGTAGTAACCCCTTAGATCGATTAAAGCAAACAGGTCATCGACACTAACCTATAATAAACAAGCTTTGTTTTAAAATCGGTGAATTTTTGTGAGATGGTAGCATAGTGGTAAAAGTGAAGTCTCGTCTACAGTTTGCACAAGTAGCATTTCTCTTCCAACCAAAGTTAATGAGAAAGTCTGTCTATGTATATATACGTTGATATTCATGTATTTGTTCTCTACAGAATTATTCAGCCTCGTTTCTAATTCTGAAAGCAAAGTTTAGTAATTGAAGACTATTGTCTTCATGGAAAATTCCCATTGTAACGTATAGAAAATCAAAACAAGTGGTGATTCAGCGAAGAGACTCTTCTCAACAACGAATTTATTATCAAGCTATACAATCATATGTGTGTGGGGTTTTTAAGAAGCTATATCCGGTGAGGGAATTGAATCATAGGTGTGTATGCATAAAATAATAATAATAGTACGAAATGCAATTAAGCTTTTGTGATTATAATCATAATTAAATGTCAAGTGGCAAAATAATTAATGTCATATATAGGATAATTCATAGGATGGATAGAACTTGGAAGGGGTGTGCAATTATAGGATCAGTAGAGTAGACAAATCAAATCAAATAAAAACGTTACGTAATATTGTGTGAAATTTGATAACATTAAATTTAACGTTGCGAAACAAAATTTCGGATTTAGAATGACAAGTGGGACGAGTAAAATAACACTGGGGACAGTTCAAAGTGAGAATAGTAACAACAGAGATCTGGCTTTTCTGTTTCGATAGCCAAAGATGACTTCAGCAATACAGATTTGTCGGGTACGTAGTGATTTCGGTAAATTACGTTTTGCCTTGTAGATCACTTTAAAGACGGAGGCTATAGAGATAGGGTGATCATTATCGACCAGGTGTTCAATGATCGCGCTTCTTATCGCTCCACTTCCACCTCTTCGTAACCATGCAGGATAGTGTCCTTGCACTCTCTTGGACAAAACTCGAGTTGGACGACCGATATACCTAGTTCCACACGAGCAGGTGAATTGATAAAAGTACACAGAGTTGGTCAACAGCGGGATCTTGTCCTTCAGGTTATTGAACAATAATGGTCGACTGTTCTCTTTCTCTACAGCTTTTTTGTTATCCAGTCAATACTGAAAGTGCGCAAAAATATGTAATATGTAGTGTGCGTTAGTGGCACAGTGATTAGGACTCTCGCAGACTATGCACATGGTCCGGGGTTCTATCCCCTGCCGATGTGCACACCTGATATCAATGGTCGGCCTGCGAAATTTGGCCTACCGATATCACATGCTGATAATTCCATACTTGTACCAAAAATACTGTGTGGAATCAAGCTATAATCAAATATATATATATATATATATATATATATATATATATATATATATAGAATGTTCAGATATGCATAGTATTCTGTTGCTAACGCAGTATTGAACTGTGACGATATGTGAGAAACATATTCTGTTGGAATACATTGTCTGTATCACACCACCACAACAAGGGTGTAAATCGCTGAAGCGGAAATGTTACTGGATTTCTATGCAGTGGTTGGCCGATGAACTGCAACTATTTTTGTATTAGAGAAGATAAAACTGTGGTGAGAGCTGTCTGCAAGCCAAAATTGTCACTGTTTAAGTCCCGAATCGGGGTCATAAGAAAAAAACAATAACAAACCTTAACCATGCGGAACTCACCAACCAATCACAGCAGACCTTGCGTCTACAAATACGATTCGCAGATATATGGCTTAACTTTCTAAGAAACGGTCACATACAATACAGAATAATCTTCTGGAAGAAAACAACCAATTAGAAGAGGATGCTTCTCGCTAAAAATAACGCTAATAATAATGTATACAAAAATCTGTAAATACCTCTTGATTTTCTCAATAAACGATCCGTTGCCTGGCCCTTGTCTTCTGTTGTTACAACACTACCTATCTGCTTACAGTTTCGTACGTGTAGGAAGGTTCAAACCCGTATCCCAATGGTTTGTAATCAAGTGCTTTAACCAGAAAGTCACAGCTCTACTATAGGCCGGGAAAAGTCGTGTAAAAGGAATTCAAGACCATTACTTTATCTCACTTATATATCTATATATTTTTAAAGCAATTTACTAATATTCATTATTTTCATTCTTAATTATTTTCAGTCTTGGTTCAGTAGGCCATGATACAATGCTATGCTTATGGGATCTGACAGATGATATAATTCGTCAAGGTGTTGAATTTCTTCGATCTTCAATTAACAGTGTAAATGCTAATTTTGAAACCCTGACCTGTGATACTTCTTTTCCTCCTATTGTAAAAAACTCTTCTGTTCACAATACATACAACAATATAATGTCGACTGGTGGTGGTGGTGGTGGTGGTAGCGGTTGTGGTAGTAGTATGAATTGTAATTCCCCGACTGCTTTACCATCTCCACAATCGGGTAATGCTTCATCTACTACATCTTCAACTGTTTCATCTCCACACATAGATTCAAGTCGATTTTCAATTAAATCAGGTGATAATCGACTTTTTAATAATAATAGTAATAGTAATCATAATAATAATACTAATAAACGTAAAAATACTTCCAATTCTACACCGTCCTCTGGTCCTCCATCGAATGGTACAAATAGCAGTGGATCATCAGATAAGACAAAGTCGATTTTCTCTCGTGGTTTTCATTGGTCTTATTCAAATACAAGTAGTCGTATTAGCGGGATTGTACGCTTTCCACGAATTGGTAATTCTGACAAGTCAAATGGATCTACAACCAACTCACTGAAAACATGCAGTCTGGGACGTTTAAGTGAAGTCAAGTGGATGTTACAAATAACTGAGAATAAGTAAGTATTTTGTTTTTTCCGATAGTCGGTTTGTACGAGTTCGATCACGGATTGATATCAGTTAGAGAACCATTCAAAAACCCGTCGATGACATTGGTTGGTGCCAGTCGCGTTAAATCACGAATTGATAGAAGTTAGAATTCATGGGCTAGCCGTTGGGCTTGCTGGCCCTATAACCTGAAGGTCCTAGATCCGTAGTCCCACCCCTGTGGTGGGTGCGTACTGACGAAGAGTCCAAAACTAGAACGAAACAGCTGTCCAGCACTCCCTGGTTTTCAATGGTTGTCGAATTGATATCAATCCGTGGTCAAACTCGTAAAAATAAGTATTGTTTGTTTGTTTTTACACGACATGTTCACTTTATTACTAAGATTGTGGTGAGAGCTGTCTACTAGCCAAATTGGTAGACAGTAATTTACGTCAATATTTACGTTCCCAAGATTTGTCGTGAGAAAATGTGAACAAAGATTGATTCAAAACCGACCACAGCAGACTTTGCGTAGGCGGATGCAGTTAACATATAGAGGATTTGACATTCAAGAAACAGTCACAAATAGATGAAAGATTAACTTTACGTGAGAAACAACCAATCGGAAGACTGTTTGTTTACTTAAATATCCATAGTAATGTACATGCAAATATATAAATATGCGTTGATTTCCTTAATAAATGATCTGTTGCCTGACTCTTGCCTTCTGTCGTTACAAGATTAGTGTGAGTCCTCATAAATTATCTTCATGTGCCTGTCTGTCTGTTTTCAACATAGAACTTCGCACCGATATACAGCACTTCAAGTCGCCACACTCCCTCCTTGTAACACACAAAGCAAGAGAAGTAGAAGAAATGCAATTAGAGACAGTAGACAGGGATATGAGACAAAAGGAATAGTAATAACGAAGAATATAGTTTCATTGGGTATTATAATTCACAAGGAGTGGATGCATCTGCACCACCCATTGAGAACGATTTTGATCCATATCACCGATTGTCTCCAGCCTTCATTGGTTTTTACCACCCCGATGACCCAAACCATTTAGGAAGTCTACACCTTCCTACGTGACTGGTTCAAACTAACTGTTGTGAATTTCATTGACTGGTGTCATGTTTTGGTTTGACCACCGCTAGCTGTTTTCGAGCCTGACTCTATGTCAGCTAAAATTGCCCATTATCGAGGAAGGTGATCGGTAACTAGGCATACGTAACATATGTTTTAACCATCTCAGTCGATGTAGCTTCACAGCCTCGTCGATTGATTTCCCCTCCTTACCTAGCACTCAACCTATGCTTCACCTCAATATTGCTCACCCTATTATACGACTTCACACGGGAGACAGAACGCAGGCACCTATGATCAAAGACAGCTAGCCAGGCTTTTCATGTCTTCCACTTTCACTAATCATATCTCACAGTCATAAAGGAGGGCGGAGCGGACTGCTGAACAGTACACACGCCCTTTGGTCGACAGCCAGCCGGATATCGCGTCTTCGCCAGAGACGGCGTAAACTGGCGCATGTGAAACTAGCTCTCTGTATCCGTATTGGGTTTTCGTCAGTGATCAACCCGTTGGAGTTGGATGATGCAACTTCCTAAATAAGTCTGGATATGGAGGGAGATACTCATGACTTGATTTCCAACCCCTGCTTCACCCACTGAAGTTTGGACAGGTATTAGCCTTCACGTAAATAGGTGTGGTTCATTGCCAATTGCACAGAAATGCAAATGGTTCAGAACAACACACACCAGTCGATAACATGTGACTTTTTATTATTGTTTTACTTGAATTGGTTGGAGGGTTTCTTCATTAGCTGACATTGCTTAGCGAACCATTGGAAAACCTGAGAGTACTGGATAGCTGTTTCGTCCTAGTTTGGGACTCATCAGCATGTGCCTACCGGGCCTCGAACCCAAGACCTTCTGGTTACAAGGTGAGAGAGCTCGTTGACCGTTAAGCCACTGGAAGCCGATTCACTGGCCAGTCCATGAATTCTAACTTCTGCCAATTCATGACATAGCGCGACTACTTCGCAATATCTTCTTCGATGAGTTACTGCCTCCCCTTCAACTTTGTAACCAGAAGGCCCTGGGTTTGAAGCTCGATGGGTGCGTACTGCTGAAGAGTTACAAGCTAGGACGAAACAACCGTCCAGCACTCCCAGCTAGTTTTCCAATGGTTCTCTAAATGATGTCAGCTCATGATGAAATCCTCCAACTAATCAAACAAAACTAATACATGCATGTTTTATTTTATTCTTTTACGTTCCAAGTGGAACGTACGGCTTCAAGCTTAGAGCTCATAAGTTTCGATGGCAGTGGTTTTTTATTTCTATGGAGTGAGGTTGCTAGCCTCACGTTCAGCCTTCCTTGTTTACCTGCCTTACTACTGGCTTAAAGAGGTTTAGGAGTACGTTGGTCGCGGATCACACATCGGACCACGTACGTGATTGCAGAGCGTTCTACCACTGAACCACTAATGTCACCAAACTTCTTAACATATTTACATACTTTCAAACACAAACATTTCGCGAAAGTAATCCAGCAGTTTGAAACACCTCTCGAAGAAGCACACTTCTAAATTTATACAGACCGAGAGCTGAAAGGCTAAGCATACGCCAGAGACTAGATAAATAAAAGGTCGCTATTAGTAGATTTAACGGCATATCTGAATTAATGGAAAGTGGAACTTCTTGGCGTAAGATATTTTCTCGTGTAGTTCAACCTCGAATCAATATATTTAGTGCACGAGACTTGAAAATTAATGACAAATTTTATTCAGAAACAATTAGTTATAATGAAATTCTAAAAGAGAAGTGTGATACGCGTTTAAACGTGAGATGAAGAGTGACACGACATGTTGTGATGAGATTATACTTTATTTTCTTTCATGTTAATTGACTCTGCGTCTTAAGTGCAAACGTCCATTATGAATCAAAGCACTTTCATGTTTCACTTAAATGATAAGATTGTCAACCTCATATATATATATATATATATATATATATATGCATTCTATAGTTAGTTTGTAAGAATTAGTTTTGGTTTTACGAGTTGATCATGAATTGATATCAGTTCGACAACCATTGAAAACCAAGACTGGAGAACTGGACAACTGTTTCATCAGCCTAGTTTGGGAATCATCGGCAGTACGCACGCACTACTAGGGGTCGAACTCCAGGACTTTCCGGTTATAGGGCCAGCAAGCTCGTATACCATTCAGCCACTGGGACCCGATTCCAACAGCTAGCTCATAAATTCTAACTTCTACCAATTCATGATTTAGCGCGACCCCAACCAATGTTTTTGGTGGGACATCCATCCTCACACTCGACTGGATGGACCTCATTGGTCATGACTTCTCACTAGAACTCCAGGAAACTGCGTCCTGTAGCAAGTCACTAGCGAGTACCAGACTAATTTTCAAGAGTTGCCTTGTAAGGATTAGTTTTGTTTTTACGAGCTGATCACGGGTTGATATCAGTTAAAGAACCATTGAAAACCCGCCGATGAAATTGGTTGGTGCCAGTCACGCTAAATCACGAATTGATAGAAGTTAGAATTCATGGGCTGGCCGTTGGAATCGGGTCCCAGTGACTGAATGGTATACGAGCTTGCTGGTCCTATAACCGGAAGGTCCTGGGTTCGACCCCTAGTAGTGCGTGTGTATTGCCAATGATTCCCAAACTAGGATGAAACAGTTGTCCAGTACTCCAGTGTTAGTTTTCAATGGTTCTCTAACTGATATCAATCCGTGATCAGCTCGTAAAAATAAATAAATATGTAAGTATATATTTTTTTTTCAAAATTCATCTTGCATACTTTTGATTTTCAAATACTTCAAGAGTTACCAATGATCACTTTGTATAGTTATAAATATCTTCTTCGAGGTCATAATATAGGGAAATATAATGTTAATCAATAACCACCTGCATTTCCATACAATCAGCAATCACCTATGATGTGAGGACTAATTGTACTACCTGGCTGCCCAAACCTTGGTAAATGGAAAGGGATTTCGAGTCCATGACCCGTTTGGCTAAAAATCAAGTGCCTATATCAACCAGCCACACTGCTTCAGCTTTCGAGGTCATAGTTACCAGTTTGAAAAAAAACTGTTTAGCATTCATTGCAAAGTGTATTTGACTGGCTCACTGGCGTAAGCAGTTGACTTTCAGTCACTTTCAGCCCCGAGTTCGAGTCCTGGCGCACCTACCTCAAGCTCTTACACAAGAAGTGTGACCCTTACTTACTTAGCCTGGTACATGAAAGAGTTCTAACAGCAGACACTGCAAAATTACGCCATGACTATTATTAAAAACAACTTAGTTATCATCAAATGTGTGTTACTTTTCCCTTTGAACATTTTTCAGATGCTTGAGAATGATTCTCTTAGGCTTTAGTCGAAGTTTTAGGGTGCCATCAAAATAGGTAGAATTACAGTTTTATTGCTATTTATTACCTAATATGCTTGGTTCTTGAGCACAACAAACAAATAAAAAGTATTGCAACAACACTAGTTTTCAACAACACTCCAATCTGTGTGACAAAATTCCTCCACATTAGATAGTAGTCAACCGGCGAATAGTCTCGTTGACTTAGAATATGCAGATGATACAGTACTTTTAGGTGAGGACGCTGACAAAATACCGAGTACTTTGAACATCTTGAGCAGCTCCTGTCAATTGTAAGATGATGCTACAGGACTGGACTAGGCTCAATAATAATGCGTAGACTTAAGTGGTGCTCGGAAGGAACAAACACGAGAGAACTAGACAGGCTTTAGACCAGGAAGAGGGTGTATTGATCATATCTTCATCGTTCAACAGATTTTGGAACATAGGCGTACTTACCGGTGGTCCAACAATCATTATATTTCTTGACCTAAAGGCGGCATTCGACTCCGTTGACCGAGAGGTACTATGGCGACGCTTGGCTGTGAAGGGAATGCCGAGAAAATACATTACACTGATCAAGGCACTGTACTCGGACTCATGCAGCCAGCCAGG